TGTTTTGCTCTATAAAAATACGGATTTCTGGGTTTTTCGGATCGAATCGAAGAATACCAGATCGAAAGCAAATCTAACGCATATTTTGAACCACTAACATCTCTTATGTCAGAGGCGATATCGGTAAGTTTTCTTCTTCGTTAAAGACAATGATGATCAGAAGTTCACAACGATAACGGTAAGTTTTAAACTGAAGACACCGAAGCTCAAAAAAGTTTGATAGTATACTTTCTCTTCTTTTCTTTCTCTTCTCTCCTATCGAAAGCTTTCAGAAAGTAGATCTCGGACTCCTCTCCGGTGATCGGCGTCCTTCGCCGGGCCGTGAGAGGCTCAAGGTTGTTGAGTGCTTTAATGCTCCGGTGAAAGCAAGGTGAACCAATAGTGCTCTGCCACTCCTTCTCTGGCGACGCTGAGGCGTGGAAAACTCTCTGATGGAGCGAACAGTGGCTGGACTACATGTATTCCAAAGAGGCATGCTTTATTATCCAGATCTGAGACTGCTTTGAGGACGGCGGTGGGTGAGGAGAGCGAGAAGCCAAGAAGAAGAAAGTAGATCTGAGCCGCCGCAAGCAGCAGAAGCCGTCAGTGGGGTTCGGTGGGTTGCGTTGCGAGTTGAGGAGGGGCAGCGGATGTTGTCCCGTGTCTGAAGCAGCTCCATTTTTTGGGTCCTCCTCGACCGGATTTGAAGGTGTGGTGTTGAGGCAAGGCCATTGGAGAACCCTTGTCAAGACGGAGGAGGAGCTAATGAGGAAGTAGGAGATTGAGTGCTTGCTCCGGCAAGCATCTCATCGGTTAAAAACCGTCTGGTGTCTGTTGTTATTCTTAGATGTCGCCAGGACTGGTTGAGTGGGGATCCGATCCTCCGAGTTTGGGAACGACCTTCGGAGTCGGGTCTCCGACTGCATTGTGAACGACCCGGCAGTGTGCCGCAAAGCTCATCGGTCGCACCCGTCGGTGTGGTCGTCAACCGGACGGAACAGCCTAAATTTGTCACCGCTTCCTCTTCTTTTTCCGATTTTGTTTTATGGTTTTCTCAGTTTTGTTTTTGCTTGCGGTTCAATTTGCTGTATATCGGATCGATTCCCGGTTTTTGGGTCGGTCTTATTAATATAATTTAAAAAATATATATATATATATATCGGTAAGTTTTCTTCTTCGTTTAGACAATAATCATCTTATGTCAGAGACGAAACTGTGTGAGGAAAAAATCAATTCGAGTGGTTTTGTCTTTGTTGCTTCTTCAAGAAGAAAGCATTAGATGTATAAGGGAAAAAAAAGAAGCTTAACCAACCAAAAAGAAACGTCATCTTTAACTTGGTTTATTACCATTCTTTTCTCCAGGAAAATTGAAGTGTAGAGTTCTAGAAATCTAAAGCTTCTGAGGATGGTGAATAAACATTTCTTCAAGCCTATTCTTCCTGGATTCCATAGCCACTTGGTACTCTCTGTCTTTCTCTGTGTCTCTCTTTTCCTATATCTGTAATCTGTCTCTGTTTCTCTGAGAAGCTAACTGAGAGATGGGTTTGGTTTTGTATTTGCATGTTGTTTCAGACGATTCCTGTATAGCTTTCTTCTCCAAGTATATACAAGGAACAAATGAACAGAAGATGACTACGGCTAAGCTGAGATCAGATGTGTCGAAGATAGCATGGAAAGTGAAGATAGAAGAAGATGGCCAGAAACTCACTGATGGTTGGAAACAGTTTGCTCTCGCACATGATCTTCGAATCGGTGACATTCTCATTTTCAGACATGAGAAACACATGGCTTTTCACGTCAAAATCTTGGGACCTAGTGGCTGTGAGGTTCAATATGAGTCTTGTTTAGACGACAAGAGCAATCTTGGTGAGCTATGTTCTCATGAATCTGAGACTGATACTTGAGAAATTTGCTAAGTAACAAAGTTTAAACCTGGTTTTGGAATATGCATGTGGAAGAAAAGTGGAAAGACTTACATCAGAGGAGGGTGGGGAAATTTCTGTAGTGCCAATGGACTGAAGAAGAAGAAGAAGAAGAAACAATGTTTAAACTGTAATTTTTAGCTTATATCGTGGAATATGGAGCAGTAATTAAGTAGAGAGAAGCAGTTTTGACTATTACCACTTGGATTGATTTTCTTCTTTTTTTTTCAGAGAAGACTCAGAGGAAGAAGAAAGTGGAGAAGAATCCAAAAACAGAAGCAGGGTCTTCTTCTTCTTCACTAGATCCCTCTTGTTATGTGGCCAACATATCTCCTGCAACTCTACGTTATGACTCATTGGTATTGTGCTCTTAATTTTTGAATGATAAACTAAAGCTCTTATATTATATTATAATGAACTTGAGAGTCATTCGATCATTGGATCTAAAAGTTGCATTATAATGAACTTTCAGCGTCTTCCAGTCAAAATTTCAAGGGAAAATGGTCTAGACACAAGATGTGGAGAGATTGTTCTGATGAATGAAAAGGGTACATCATGGAAATTGAATTTGAAACAAAAGAGATCATGTGAAAGTGGAACAATGTATATCAGACGAGGTTGGAGAAGTTTCTGTAGTGCCAATGGACTTAGAGCTGGGGATTCCATCACTTTCAAACTGATCCAAAGAGGAGGAAATCTGGTTCTACGTTTGTCCTCCACAGAGTCCGAAGAAGCGTGCCCAGAAGGTGATGAAATAGAATCTCTTTCCACAAAATCAGAAAGTGATCATGAAGAGATGGACCAAGATGAGAAGAGTCGATATGGAAAGCTTCATCTTCAGAATCCCAAAACCGGCTTTTGACTTTAACTCTTAAACCTTACAATCTCACAAAGTCTAATCTGGTTAGTTTTTTCATCACTCCTGGCCATTTTGTCTTGTTACTATTCTTTCGAATCTTGAATCTTTTATTTGAATATTTGTTTTAAGTATCTTCCGGTACCCTTCACGAAATTTCATGGCATAAAATCATAAATGAGGAGACTAAAATGCACCTGTTGGATAAAAACGGTGTGAAGTGGTATACGAATCTGCGGTCTGCAGAGAAAGGTAAACAAATAAGACTGGTAGGAGGCTGGAAAGATTTCTTCAAAGCTAACTGTGTGAAGATAGATGAACCGATCTTGTTGAAGCTGATTTGGGAAGGAGATACAAGTTGTATCCTTCAGTTCTGCTCTAAGGTGAAGTAAGAGACCAAATGAAACTAATATTTTAGCTTTTGTAAGTGCCCAAGACCAATTGGAATGAATCGGTTTTTGGCTTATTTTGTGCGTAATTTAGCAATGGTCAGCCTAACTCAAAAGTATCTTTTGTAGTACGGTATTTTTACGTATGATGTAAAACCGGTGTGTTTGTGAATATCAAATCAACTTTAGTTGAGAATACTCTGACTTCAAGAAATCTCAACATTTCACAAAAACCACCAAAGAGAGACACTAAAGATTTAATTATTAGAAGAAAAAAATACACAAAGCGTTGAGGTAAAGGTCGCAAGAAAATTCCAAACCAAACAAATTTTACACCTTAATTCTTGTACAAAATGTAATGTTGTTCATGCTCGCTCCGTTTGCAGCTCCTTCATAATTGCAATAAGGTTTCTTGGCGACCACGGCGGTTGCGATGATATGGTCCCCTAAAATCAAACGACGTCGTTTGATATTTCATCCCCAAAATTGAAACATGAACCCTAATTCCTTAATCGGCATGAAATGTCGACTTCTCCTTCAGCTTCAAACGTGTCGATCCCTTTCATTGGCCTTCTCACGCGAAATTGAGAGCAGCTAGGTAACGGGAAAGTGAGAGTGATATAGCTTGAGAAGAGGGTTTTCGGATTCGTCGAGTTTGGAGCGATTGTGGTCAATTGATATGCTTACTCCTCCTGGAGTAGTTGATGCTTACTCCTCCTCAGCTGCGACTGCGACGGCGTCTTATGTGACGGTGGATACGACGCCGTATTACATAATGGATAGGAATGCTCAGAGCTTGGCTTGGCGAGAGGCTGTTGGTAAATATGGCACAGATCCTCTTGCAATTACAGGAGCTGTATGTTGTTTCTCTTTCCTTTCATAGATAATCTGAATATTTAGATGAGGAAGGCTATGAATTTTTCTCCTTCTATTTGGGAAATCAGTGGATCAAGATGATGACTTTTATGGACGACTTAGTGTGCTTCACGTTCACGCCTGTGTGAGTTTAGGATCTGTAAATAAAGGCAGGTCCTTTGCAACAAGTTCTTGATGCGTCAGTGAATTTTCAGTTTTAAAGTATTAGTAGTACTCCTCTGTGATTGCTCTGTTTTGCTTAGACATCAACGTATAATGTCTTGAGATTCTTGTTTGCACAATTGATATGTTTGCTTTATATTTCATTCCGTGCAAGGTCCTTTAAGGTGATCTGCTTATGCTTCATACTTGCTCTAGAGAAGGATACGCCATGTAAACAAGTTCTAGGATCCGAAGAAATCGTCTCGATATTTATTTGCTTATTATCTTGGCGGTGTGCTCAATTTGACGGTTAATTGATAATTGCTGGTATTTTTTTTTTTTTTTTTTTTGTAATTGAGGATGAATCAGGGTGCAACAGAGCAGCCTTATAGCATATACCCGGGCTTCTCTTGTCCAAGCCACATAGAGTAAGCTCAACTTCCTGGATTTGTCTCACCGAAGAACAGTCAAAGAAGGCGAAGGTTGTTCGATCTGCTTACTTTGAGTTAAGTTTGTAAGGTTGACTGTAACGGTCCGAATGTATCGAGCAACATAAGTTGGGGAAGAAACACTTAAAGAACTTCGGAGAAGTTAAAAACATGCTTACCCTTACCGTGTAACATAGGTTCTTCTTCTTCGGCTGGACCAACCATTGCAAGGCTAAGAAGAACGGGAAGAAAGGTGCGGAATTAACAGAAGGGTTTAGAATCAAAGAGACGGAAAGTCATGGAATGTGGGGCCACAAATGAGTCTAATTAGATTGTGTAGAATATGCAACGTTGTTTGTAATAGTGACAAGGTTTACAACGATCATTTAGCCGGTCCCCTGTAAATTCCTAGATTCCTTGAATCTTATTTCTTGCATTAACTGTATTGCATCATTACATGATTTCCTTATTTACCTGGATACACTAGAAACTTAGGAAGTAGAAAATACATTCAAAAGACTTGATAAGGTAGTCTGGTCAAGGCTCATGGAAGTTCGACTTGCTTAATGTTCCATTTGTCTTTGGCATATTCGTGGATCGTCCGATCGCTGCTAAACTTGAACGAACCTGCTGTGTTTAAGATTAACATTCTCGTCCATCTCAGTAATCATTAACAGCAATTTTCAAGGTTTGATCTTGAGGACGTTTCACATTTGAGTCAACATAGAAAAGCTTTGATGATCAAAGAAAAAGCATTACTACTTACTTTCTGGTCTCGGTATGCCTCGTCGACTTTTTGTTGGCATTCAACGTAACTAGGAAAGTCTTTGCCAACGAGGAAGTAATCCGCTCGTCCAAAGCCTTCATTTCCTTCCAAAGAGCCAATAAGTTCATCATAGCTGTTTGAGCCAAAGACACCGCTTCTCCCGAATCTTGCGATCCTTCTGCTTTGCCTCGGCGGCACTTTTTCGGGATTTGGGCGACCTCCGCCTTGCTGTTGACACCCATCTTCTTCGGCATCTTTGTCGCTAGTATTTAATAGAGTCCAAAATTATTTTAACAGTAAACTATAGCCCAAAATCATTTAACTCAGCCCATTAATACCCACGACGTTTTTTAAAAAGTTGGTCATTTAGATTGTCCCACATCGACAAAACTAGATAATTTAGAAGGGGAAGATGCATTATAAATATGAATCTTCGTCAACTTCCATTATAATTGTAACTCAAGCCAAATTGTGGGCCAATAGCATAAGCTGTGCGCGATTCACTACAGTTGGGCCTGTTCTCTGTCTCTATAAATTTATAAATCAACATTAATCTGTTGAAGGACAATAAAAGAAATGGCGGAGGACAATAATCTGTCAAGCCTGGTTTACGAACTCCGTGAACGGGTGGCAGCATCCTCCTTGACTCCGGCTAACAACCTTGGTCACTCTTCCAGAGTTGATGACGATGCTCTAGAGATTCGATTTCGTGCTGTCATCCCAAATCTTTTGAAATCCTACGTTGTCTTGTCTCTCGGTACTTAAAAACTATTGTGGGATCATGGAATTATTTTTTATGGCTAGAATTATACATATACAAGAACTTGTTAGGTTAATCTGGGATGGGATTTTCTATTACAGGTAATGGAAGGGAAGTTACAGCTGTTCTGAAGCTTGTTGGTCATACAGCAAGGATCCTCCCTGGAGTTTTCTATCATGGAGATCCTGCTGCTATTCTCCCTGTGATTGCTCATATTATGCCTTTTTTTTCAGAACCAGATTTTCTGTAAGTGACTAGAGATTTCACTCTATGCACATCACTTTTCAGCAAAGACCCGAGTTTCGCTTTAATCCCTTTTCTTGCTAACCAGTTGCAGTCCTGGGCATGGAGTAATACTTGAAACTCTTGCATCTCTCTTAATGTTACTGCGTTCCAACTCAAGGATGGCTTACCGGATGTTCTTCCGTGACGCTTTGCAGGCCGTTGAAGGTAAGAGTCTAAAATTTACAACTTTCTTCCCTGTTTATCGTAATGATTTGGCCTGATAAGCATTTTCATGGACCATTTATTCTTTTTTTTTTCTTTTTCAAAATATCCCTAAATTCTTTTCAGTTTGTTCCACTAATCTTACAACTAGGGATTAATCCGCGCTGTAGCGCATGAGACATATTTTTGACCTTCAATTAACTTAAATAATTTTATAAAAACAGTTATTTTATAATAACATTTATTATTATAAAGTTTACGATAATATAATGCATATTTTTGTGAATTTTGAAAAATAAATTGATCCGTATATAACTTTTTTTTTGTTTGAATTATAAAAAATAAGTTAATCCGTATATGAAGTTATTTTATAAACGTGTAAAGCAAAAAAAGCTATTTTTAACACGTTGGCATTAAACTAAAATATTATTTAGACTAATATATAAAATATTATAATATTATAATTATCAACTCTAATTTGCATCATTTAATAACTGGGTTTTAAAATGTGTCCACAAACTATAAAAATGTTTTTATCTTTTTAACTATATATGAAAATAATATAATACTCTTTACACTTAGGTTTGATATATAAAAAAATAAATATACAACAAACTATATTTAGTTTTAAAAGAAAAATTATAATATTTAGTAGATTGAATATATTATCTATTTTAAAAACTAATATTTTGAATTGCGAGAATTTTTTTGTGGGATATTAAAAAATTAGAATTATAATTCGTTCATATCGAACTAACCCGTTTACCTAACATGTTTTGTATTAGATTAAAATTTAATAATGAATTATAATATGCACCGTTCAATAACTCTCACTTCATCACAATTTTTTTTATTGAAAAAATCAACTTTCTTATATCAAATTTTTAGTAAAAATAACTAAAAAAAATATTTGTATATAATCAATTAAATATAGCAAAATATTGTAAAAAATATTTCACCATTTTTTTAATATCATAACTTTGAATCTTGACTTTTATATTATGTAATTATAAAAAAAATATTTTCGCGTTTTTTAATTAAATACACTCGAAAAAAATAAAAAAACTATCATATTTTTAAATTCAGAAATTAAATAATAAATATACTCTATTAAATGAAAAACAAAGACTTTTCATATTTTATCAATAGATTTGAAAGACAACTATATCCTTTCCAATTTTAATTATTTTTGTTATTTGTAATGACATATCATGTAATATTTTACAAAATAAAGGTTACTTTTAAAATGTCTACTCAAATAATAATTATTATATAGAGATGACCAACTTTACTATTGGAGATAGTTTCTTGAAAAACTGACTTCACGTTCTATGGTTCCTAAAGACTTCAACTTAAATTGGACTAACATCCCTTTTGTATGTGTCCAGATATGCAACCTATTGCATCACTTCATTCCAATGACTTGGAACTCTGTGAATCTCACATTCCATTTAGGTGTTTCTGTTTGTCCTTTTCTGGAATTTGGGGGGATTCTTGTCATCTTTGTGATCTGCCAGATACTAATAAGCCCAGAGATGGGGACGGTATTGTGTTGAACTTATTGGGAGCCAAACGATGGCAACCTTTTGCTACTTGTATCATTAAACTCATCTGCAAATGCCTAACTGAGGGGACACTCTACGTCGAGGGTCTAATCCATACATCCTTTGTTAAGGCTGCTTGTTCATTAGTATGTTGTGGTGGTGCAGATGTTCAGATGGTGAGTTTCTCTTTATTCATATGCTTGGTAATTTGGTTTATCTTTGATCGGTAGTTAGTGTAACTAGTTCATTTAATTTTCTTTAAAGATGTAATGATTTGTTGTGACTCTAATCTGACATCTGATTTTAAATTGCAGGCATGTTTTGAATTTGTCTCTCTTGTTGGATCAATCCTTAGTTTCAACATACTCCCTCATGTGGGATTGATACAGTCAATCATCCTCATTCTAAGTACAGATGAAGAAGGACTTCCTGTGTACAGGTGTGTGCCCTAACATATCGAAGCACAACTACTATTGTTTTATTTTGCCATTATTATAAATTTATCAAATAAAATTGGATCTTCTCTACTTACCTTTCTCCCACTTGTGTGGAACATATCTTGGATAAGCAAATATTTTCCTATGTAATTTAGAATAAAGACTTACCTTCACTTTGAACTTCCAATTTTGGGGTTGTGTTACAGGAATGCGGTATATGATTCTACCATTGGTCGCTGTCTTATGACAGTATATTCCAGCTGTTCTGATGACGATGTCAAACAAACTGCAGAGAGTTTAGTGTTGGTCTTCCCTCATGCATTACAGAGAACAAAGAGTGAGGAGCTAAAGGTATATTTGGATATATTTCTTCCCATACACATGTTTCACTCCTATGAATTTTTAATCAGTTCTTTTATTTTTTACTTGTTGTTGCCCATTCAACAACTATATAAGAAATCATATTGGGTATTTATGTTTGTAGGCTTCCTTGTGCAATGCGTATGTGCGGATTGTGAAATCTTGTCCTCCTTGTATTTGGAAGCTAAATTGCCTTCTAGAGTTGCTTCATCTTTCAGAACCTTGTTTACAATTGATAGAATGTTTTGAAGCACTTCTCGTTGTTCTTGGACCTGATTTTGTTCGAGGTGAGACAACCAAATGTGGTAGTTATACATCAACAGCTAGTGATAAACCTGTCAAGGGGATTAACGTTGGACAAAAAAGGCATATTAAGGATGAGAGTACCCACAAAAAGAAGCGCCAAAAAGTTGGTGTTGATACTCAACAAGGGGGCTACTTTGCCACTAATGTTGCCGATGAGATCAATGAAAAAGATGTTGCTAGTCTGCGTGGGATGCTTATTTCAACAGTGGAATCTTTAAAGCCTCCACCTGATGGACTTAGTCTGTTACGGCCTGAAGTTTCAGTAGTGGCACTTAGCATTCTCACCAATGCCGTTTGTTTATGTCCGTGGACTGAAATGATTTATCGCTTGTTTCACCAGATGTTTGCCTGGATTCCATGGATAACTGAGCAGGTAACAGAAACTCCCCAATCCCTATTCTTATATTAACATTTTCATTTTCAGTATTTTTTAATATTTTTATGTAGGTTGAGAAAAATAATCCAATCATGTTCGATGTTTCTTTTTACTTGGAAGGAATTCACAATGTGCTACTCGTGCCTGGTAATTTTCCTTGTCCATGAAGTCTGACATTTCCTTTGCTTATACAAGTTTCGACCATCATTTCTTAATGTATTCAATCTTTCAATAGATTTGGATTTACAATATGAATATACGAGTAATGGGAATGAGTTGGATGCCATACAAGTCTTGTTAAAGCTTCCTTGGACGCACTTTCTGCTGTTTGAGAAGCATAGCTCTCTATTAAAGTCTAAGTGCTTGTCTGTGGGGATATGGATAAAGCTTGGTTTACGTGATGAGAGTTGTTTTGATATCTTTGATATGGCTCTTTCTGATGTTTTTGAACAAGTGCGAGCTGTCGCTGTTATCTCCATGCCACTGAAAGTTCTTTTCTCTGATCTTGATGCCCTTTCCTATATATTACGAAGGCTGGAGTAAGTTAATGAAAAAAAAATGACATAATAATCAAAGTTCATATTGCTCTTTTTGCTCACAGTTCCTTTTAAAGATATAGCTTAACTGTTCATTGGTCTTAAATTTATAGGCGTTTGTTGAAAGAAGAGCGTTTGATGGTTAAAAGAACCATTCCTCAGTCTCTTGGCTTCTTGTCGTGCCTTTATGGATCAAGTACTACTGGCTCAGAAAAAACTTCATGCCATTTATTCCTGCATGAAGATATAGAGAAAGATGAAACTCTAAACTGTCTACTTCAAGGATTTCAGTGTTCAAAGTGTGATAAATCTATCAAAGGCAAAGATGAGAAGCATTTCAAAATCATAGAGACTCCGGATATGGTGAATATGGAAATGAATCATCATCGTGATTACTCTAACCTTCAATCCTTATATTTTAATCTTCTCTATGACGAGTCTTGTGAAGAGATTCAACTAGCTTGTGTAGAAGTAATACGACGAATTCTTGGCCACACAGCTCCAGATATTCTGGTCAGAACAAGGTCTCAATGGATTAGAAGCCTTCAATATCTGTTACTTCATGTAAATACAGATGTAAGGGAAGCATTCTGTGCCCAAATTGGTATCTTTGTAC